CATTTTCTTACACTGTTTGCTTTGTATGGACATACACAACCTGCTTGAAATAAAATTTACAGTATTCAGTTCTCTTTACAGTTTTTTGTAAGTCAGCAATTTAAAAAAAACCCCACACATAGGCATTGGCACTCATGTGTCTAACTTACAGAAAAAGCAAAATATCATTAAGCATATGTGCTAGACCCTATTCTATAAAAATCTATGAGCACAGATTTAGCCCTGATGCTAATGATGACTCGGGAAAAAAATTAATATGTCTCTACAATCCACCTAAATGTGGAAGAAACAGTCTAGGAAAAGAAGGTAATATCTAAGGTTATGTGTTCTTCCTTCTGTGACAGAGGCACTTCAATGAATCGCAGAAATCACCCTTCATACACATACATGTTAATGGTTGCCCATCCCAATTCCCACTTATTTTACCTTCTTCCTATGAGTGCAAGGATAGAGCTTATGCAGTCATATGTCCTAAATTTCTCTCTTTCCTAATTCTGACTTTTGCTGCTTTTAGGAATAAGAAAGTAAGCAAATTTTTTGAGCGAAGATGACCTATTCAGGAATTAATATTGGGAAAGTGAGAGCAAGACGACAAACAGCTAAAACTGGGAATTTCCAGTTTAATGGAAAATGCTGGTATTTTGATTATTCTGAATCAGAACAAACTATTTCAAAATTTCCCACAAAGCAGAAATTTAAAAAAAAACTTTTAAAATGCTTTCAGAAATGTTGAAACACATTTTTTGAGCTTTTTAGTTTTGTTTAGGTTAATATTTTAATATTTTCTATTTTTTTTACAATCATAACTATAGCTCATCTTATGACACAATTAATGTGTAACTTCCATAATATAGTATAATTTTTCTAAATTCAATTGTTTAAATTGTGAACAATTATAACCAACAACAGTTAATGTATATTTCATTTGAGTAGGAAAATAGGATCAATATTTGGCTTTCTATTACTCGCAGCACATTTGTTTCAGAAATAAAAGAAAACCTTGTGTTAATATAAAGATATCAAAACAGTAGCAACTTTAATTAATGCTGTACATTAAAATTTTGAAGTAATTTTATCTTACTCATCACAGCATTTTCACCATAAACCATCAGTTTACAAGTCCATGGATTAATTTTGAGCTGTTACTAATATCATTTTTTTTACCACTGTTACCTATAAGCCATAATTCTGGACTTTCTCACACATCCAACCTGCTCTTGAAACACTCATGTTTTTCTTGATAAGCAAATACAAAGGATTTCAATTTATGTGATCCTCCCTAAAACTTAATCATGAAGCTTGCACTCTCCTTGTTTTGCCCAAATGAGAAACTGTTTTTCATGGCACTGCTTTATCCCTGGTGCCTCTTCAATACTGACAAAGCAATGACAGCTCAGTCTGCATGCCCTCATCCTTCCCATCAAATTTGTTACTTGTATTTCATCTAGTGATGATGCTGCTTGGGTCACCATTAAAAAAGGTGTAAAAAAAAAGTCCTTTAGCTCAAATCAATTAGAAAAATGATTTTTTTTTTTGACTTCCCAACTTTTAATTTGATTAAAGGAATTTTCCACCATACATTTGACTAATCACTAACTTCAAAACAGAATTCCATATTAATAAAATACTCCCCTTCACCTCTTCCTCCAAAGACAAATTTGTCTTTGCCATTTTATATAATGAAGAACAGCTGTTTGACAGCCACTGGGTTTATTTACCTTCTTCCATCCTTTCCTAAACCATGCCCTATCACTCTCACAGTGATATCTGATATTGTGGTGGTATCTATTCCAGTGGTTCTTTCTACTAGAGTGGTTCTGTCTTGCTTTTCTATAGGAAAACTTGTAATCCCAGTGTAAAAAAACCAAACAGCCACAAATAATTGCATTTGGTAAGAGCGATCTAACAAAGAATGCACAAGAAAGGCACACTGGTTCAGGTGTTTTTAGGCATTGTAGCAATGTTCCTACCTTTTAAGAAAGGATTTAAGTAGGGACAATATATTAATTAGGATAATTGCCTATTTTTATGTTTGCTATCTTCTATAAAACAGATTTGCCCCTGGAAAGACTGACACACGAGATCTATACCATTAGAGCATGTTACTGAAATCATTGGAGCATTAAAGTACAAAATATGAGGGTCAGGACACATAAATACCTGATTCCATCCCTCACACATTTCATATATTTTTGTGGCTACTGTAATACTGAAGGTTATTCTTCAGAAGCCAAACAAGGATATATGTGCTATTGCCTTTTAATGTAGAATAGCCACACACACTCCAATTAGAAAACTGTACATCTTTTGTAACTACTTTGAAAACTGCCATAAACTCTGTCATTTACAGGTGCATTTTATTTGAGGGAACATATACAACTGCATGAGCATGCGGTCACACTGTACTTTATTTTAAGTGGTTAAAAATTTATTATATTTAACAAGGGAGAAATCATCCAATCTCCAATAGTTAACTGACTGCTATACTGACTAGAATACAATCACCAGCATAGAAGCTAAATTTAGGAAACTAGTGATCCCCAGATCAGTATGAACAAAGGGATTTTTAATTTTCTGTTAAAAAAAAAGGGTCTTTGTGAAGAAAAGCACTGCACTAAGTTTAAAAATCCCTAATGGAAACCTTCTTTGAATCTCTTCTGTTTTCCTGCCTTTTCACAATACCACTTTAAAACAAGAACCAAAAGAAAGAAGTGAAGTGGGACAGAGCCTTAGGCTGGTCAGGTGTGTTGAGAATGGCTCTGTGGAAAGAACAGCAGTACCAGTTGTTTAGAGACCCTATGATTCTCTGATTATCCTGAGAGCCCAAAGCTGAACCTTCTACTGCTTGCTGCTCTCATGACCAAGAGAGGCCTGCTGAAACCTAGGAGAAAGCAAGCAGTGAGGAGTGGGGAGTGTTTGAAGCCTGGGCAGCAGGGAGGTTATGGAGGAGTGTACTCCTTCTCTTATTTAGGAAGGAAAAGGCAGAAGTGTGTGCACCCATCTGTAGTGCTGCAAAAAGGTAAAGATTGATTATCAGAGCTTTCTAATTTGTCTTCCCACATTCTTCTCTAAGGCTAGTGGAATGAGTGATACGTGTCCTGCGAGTTGCAGCAGGCTTCATCAAGGTATGTGCAGGATGGTGCCACCACTCAGTGACCTCTGCAGTGCAGAGGGGAGAATAGAACAGAGCAGAACATTAAAACACAGCACCTGCAGTAAAAATGTGCATCAGAATACTTGAAATATTAGTATTACCTGAACTAAGCAAACTTACCTCCAAGCCCCCTGTGCTTCTGCCATTATGGTACATTAGAAGAAATCCCTTCCAAAGATTAATCAGCTTAGCTAACCATACACCATTTAAAACTGCACAGAGCAGAGTATTAGCCATTCATAGAGGATACAAATAACTAAATGTGTCCTTTCTGCCTGGCAAGCACCCTATAGTTCAAGGTGGATCTGAAAACTGACAACAGATCTGGGCCAACATGATCTCAATTGTTATTTTCAATAATAAAGTACAGCTAGCACCTCAGCATGCAACCCTCGCTTAGTGGAAGCAGACAGGGACAAAATGCAATGTTTTGAAAGAGCTTTTATGGAAATCATGCACTGCTTGTGACATGTGTTTGGTCTCTGGAGCTGCAGCCTTGTTTAGCCCTCTACTTTTAAATGCCATCTTCCAAACTCAAAGGGTAAGAAGTATAAACTGTGTCTATAAAACAACATCACAACTTTATTCTCAATAGCTAAGTATTGAAATGCAAGCATACATTATAAATAGAAAAACAGCTGGCTTGGAGCACATTGCAAGCCACTAACACAGTTGAGGGATTTGAATGACATCATAACCCGTGAGAGCATGTTGCTGGCCAGCTGGTGTTATTTATAATATACTCATAATTGAGGAAAAATAAAAAGGCAGAAGTTAGGTATTGCAGAACTAATAAAGTTGAATTCTCTCTTTCCCAGTGTCATTTAAATTGTTATCAAGAGAAATTCAAAGATTACTACTAAAAAGGGAGGCGGGGGGGTGGGGTTATCATTTTATAATTACAACAGCAGATATAAGATAAATGTCATGGAAGCCCCCCAAACTGGGCTACTTATGTTACTATATTTATAGTAGAGTAAGTTCTAGGAAATTACATTATTTCTCCTGTGTGGTTGTTGAAACATCACAAAGCTATTTTGCCCTATTTACAAGTAGTTCTCAACAATTCTGTTATTTTTAGCAAATTACAAACTGCTGTTTTAGGGTTAATCACAGAGAGAGTTGGAGGTTTTAATTGGTAGTCAGCATATAGGCGTGCCAAGTTTAATAACATAAAGACACATTAAGGGAAAAGTAGATAACTGCCTGCCTGTCTTTTGTTACTATATAAATAAAATACCTTTGCTGCTATGCATAAATAAAATGGTTCTACACAAAGGTATGCATATATACAAACATTGCCCATACATATTTAAGTTTTCATATATTTGAAATGCAGACACACATAAATACAAACGCACACACAGCTACCTGAAAGTTAACCAGAATACATTTTCTTATTTTTCATGGCAGCACAAGCTCTTTTTGTCTGCTAACCCCTCAGTCACTAATTCACATTCTTTTAAAGGGAAAAAAATATGCTTCTGTGCTCTAGTTTTAAAATGCAAAGGTATGATGTTATTTGTCACCATGCCCAAAAAAGTCCTTACTCGGTAACTTTGCCAGAAGAGGGAGAGAGAGAGAGGCAAATGCTCCCCCAGCTGTTTCCTGTCTACAGTGTCTGTGTAATGTAGATAAATGTGAGGATTTTCTCTAAATCCCTCTTCTGTTTGCTAAATCTCACTGTCACTGCTAAAATCAGAGCAGATAGAGCCTGCGCAATGGAATAAAGTCCTCAATATTGAAATGTGACATTGCTCTCAACATCTCACATCTCTCTGGATTTCTTTTTTCTCATCATTACTGCTAACAAATTCATTTCCAGACTTTGCACTTTCAAGAAGCAATGGAAAAAATCAACAGTCTTTCAACACAATTAGTTAAGTGCTGCTTGTGTGATTTCTTGAAGGTAAATCTTTATTACTATTTCAAATAATTTTTTAGTTTTATTTTGCTGTGTATTGTCTGCTGCTGGCTTGAGGAGTATTGTGCACTTTTCAATAACATTATTTTAGAACTGAGAATTATTTATAAATTGCTGAACATGCAATTTTATGTGATCTGGAAAATGGCTGTATGTAATAGTTGCAATTACATAGATAACTGTAAGGGTAAACTATTGCAAATACATGTCTTAAATTTCACTTCTATTCAGAGAACTTTGTAATATTTCAGTTATGTCATTATTAAAAGGTCCACTTACATCATTGTCTATATTGTTAATGAATGCTTCTGAAAACAAGAACTTTTAGCTATTTTCTGCAGGTGCAGGGTTTTATAGGAAAAAAGGTACTATTCACATGTTAAGTTTCTGCAGTTTTATTATACACAATTATAGAGAAAATGTTCATGCTTTCACAAGGAAACTTTTAAGGGATGTTGTCACTGCAGCAATTTTCTGGCAGCATCGTGGCATTTACTTGGTTTTTGCTTTCATAAATTAAAAGTAAATGAGAAGTTCAGTTTGTTTTCTACATTAGAAACCAGCTGCGACTCTTGCTGACCTTGCATATTTGTACAGCTTAAGCAATTGTACATAAAGAAAATGGAAATTCCTTTACATGTTCATCTCCAAGTTTTCCCTTCTAGGGAGGGCTTTCTCAGGAAAGTTTGCATGTGAAGTTTGATGTAATGACCCTAAAATTTCTGCACAATAATACAAACTGTCTTAAGGTAAATTTGACTTCAGTAGGTGCATTGACCTCTGTTTCTGTCAATTGGCTCTAGTCCAACTTTCCATTATCTGCAAATTTATATCCTTCAAGAACTTTTTTTCCCCTTAGTATTTTGCAAGGATATTTATGGAGTTGAAAGAATTATCTTATTTTAATTGCTTAGGGCCTAATATTTTTTTTAAGTTGATCTTGCACTTAAAACACACTTATCTCATTCCTTAATGACCTAATTACAGATCTGTAATTGCAAGGGATGAAATCATTCCCTTAATGTATAAATGGGCATCCTTTCCAATATGCTTGAAAGAAGAAGGGTTGGGGTTTTTTTTTAAGTATTGAGCAAGGCACTAAGAGACATAAAAGTAATGTGCTAGTTCCTCAGCTGTGCATCCTGCCAAGCTTCCTTGGAATCAATGGAACATATTGATTTAGGTTAGCATGTAGCCCAGATTCTTTGCTCAAAGTTAACAGTATTTAAGCCTTGATCCACTCTAGAGTATATATGCTTTATTTATATAACAATTACTGGTGAATTCTGATATTCATAATAATTGCACATTTCTACTATGGCTTGATAATCAGGCCCAGCCCCTCTGGAATAAAATGTAATTTTGAATATATAACTCATGATTTCTTGCTGTAGCATATAGTCTCCAAAAAAATGTTGCCTCCTGCACGATACTTATAATTCTTGCAGATGTTCTTACATGTTACTGAAATGACCAAGCATGTGAAGAATTCTTATGCACAACTTATGTCAAGTGATAATTTGTTAAATGAAGGGGACTTACACAGAAGAATTAAGAAGTGACTGAGATATAGAGTGTTCATATATGACATTCCTTGGTAGTGCTACTCTTCTGGACTACTAAAAGAGGAATGTAGCAAAAGCTGGCTATTTTACTGAAAAAAAGAGGAAATTCCAGCTGTGAAAATATGGTCAGTCATTCTATGCAAGTAAAAGAAGTGCTTAACCAGGCTCATCTTGAACCTGTATTCAATTTCCTAACGTAATTAGATGCTTCGATAAACCCCACCCACACGCCAATGCGTTTTCTTTTAAGCTCTCAACTTTCTAGTCAGATTGGGGATAATGTAAGTACTCTGCTTGATTGTAGAGAACCTGCAGCAATATTGGATTACAACTTCGTATTTTCTTAAGAATATTCCCCTCAGACATAAAGGGGTACTTGGATTTTATCACAGGCATATTGAATCAATTAATGTTGTGTTTAATTAAAATGATGAAGTAAAGTTTTAAACTGTGTTTTGGAATTTGCTTTAATGAAACAGTACTTAATTTATCAAGCAATTGATTGAACCTCAGAAACATGTGAGCCTGTTTTCTTTTCTGCAAAATTTTTACTTGTTTGAAAGTTCTTGACTGTTGTTAAATTTGGAGATAAAGTTAGAAATTCTCTGTGGTTTATACTGTGCAGCCTTTTTTGGCTTCCACTAAAGGAAAAACAGTAGATAATCTGTTTTGTCGTAGTTCAGTGCTGATATTTATCTGAAAATGCAAGCCAGCTGAGAAGTCTTTAAAAATAAAAAATTGTTAAATGTCTAAAATTTATGTTTATTTCTCGACCAAATGTTATACGAGAACAAATTGTTAAATACATAATGTTCTTGTATTTGTAATGTCTTTCAGCTTTCTGAGGCAGTGTGCTAAACAGCTTTCTGCTTTACCTCCTCAGAACTGGGAACCATCTTAAACTGCAGGTGCATCACATTTATCTTATAAATTCAAAAATATGGCAAAGGAAAAAAGAAATTGTTGTTAAGATATGGAATCATTACAGGAAATAGTGTCTCATGTTATCATCATTCATTTACAATCTGATCTTTCTCCATCTGCCATTGAAGTCATGACCATGCATTTGAGCTTGTTGGGGTTTGCATGGCAAAGTTGGCTAAAGACACTTGTGAATGGGAAAATAATTATTCTTTTTTTTATGATATATCATGGGATTTAAAATTGTTCATTATTTTCACAGTGGAAATAAGAGACTCATCCAGCAAGGCACTAAGATCTCTTGCCAAAAAAATAAGAATTCTTAAAAATTATTGACTAAAAAAGGCTCAATATCCCACTGGATCAGATCCCAATTGATCAGAAAACAGATAACTTCATCTTTTTTCAAAAGTTCAGAGAAGAAATATTAAAGATTAAATGGTCCCTGAACCCCTGAAAGAAACTTTAGGGAAGATGAATCATTTCACTTTCAATTACTTTGCACTAGACTGCTAACACAAAGCAGTTTTAAGCCAAGTTTAACTGTATGTGGAAGACAGATTTGTAACTTCTTACCTGACTGCAATGATAATGTTAACCTTGAAAGAGAATGAAATTAAATGCAGATTTACACAGATTTCAAAACTATCATTTTTGGCAAGTGATCTAAACAAGTTCAAAATATGCATTAAGCACATTACTCAGTGCTACTGTCCTGCTACTATACATAAATAGCTTTTCTTAATATTAAAAGAAAAAGCTATCTTCTTTGCATGTTGGGTAAGAAATTGGGTGGACATAAAGGGATACAAAAATAAGTGACTAAATGGATTGGTGCAATTTTACACCCATTGAGAACTGGCCTTTCTTCAGTCATAGGTACAGGAAGATAGTTTGTAACCAAATGTAAATGAGAAAAGAATTATCACCTCTGTATGAACCTCATGGCCACATCTGCCCACAAGGGGATAATGAAGGTCAATGAAATATAGCTGCTTACAACAAGTAAAAATAGAAATCTTTAATGGTTTAAAACTCGTGCTCCTGTTAGTTTTTCAAATGTTTGCCTAATAGTAACAGGGAACTGTAAGAGTCACTGAATGTGGTCTTCTGCTACAGAAGATCCCACATCAACTCCTGTAACTTTGGCAAGTTGAACCTTGCAAACATTTTTGGTTTGTCGTGGTGTTTTCCTTTCTAAGGTGGCTGGAGAACTGTGGTGTACTAATAATGAACTATTTTTCTATTGGGCCAAATTTCCTTACAGCAAGTTTAGAGCCATTAATTCTCGTGCCATGTCGATTGTAGTTTAGACAGCCCCTCTCCATCCTATGCCACCCCCATTTCCCACAGTACATTGGCAGGCACCTGTCATATTCCCTCTTAGCTTACCTGGTCTGAGAAAAACCAATTCAAGGTTTGTTCTTTATTTATATTATTCCAGGCTTCCCTTTGTCTGTCTATTCCACCCTTCCATCTTTTGCTTTCCAAAAGCAAATATAAGTCATAGATATTACAGGGTTCCCTAACTAGATGTGATTGTGAGAATTCACCAGAATAAATAATCAGTTTCCAAAATACATGGACAAGAACATGTAGGCAGTTGCAAAAACGTGGGGAGACATTTCCTGATACCATGCTTATCGTCCAAGAAATCACAGTACATATTCATTCTCATTCACAAGGGTGCAGGAGTCATTTTCTGTAAGACTCTTTGGGGAATTTCTGACACTGCTTCTGCTTCCTTGGCAGGTGAAGATGCACACTGTGTCCTACATCCATTTCTTCTACCTTGGCCTGTGTTTGCTTACCTTAACCAGTTCTGTTGCTGCTGGCCCAGAAACACTCTGTGGTGCTGAGCTGGTTGATGCTCTTCAGTTCGTGTGTGGAGACAGAGGCTTTTACTTCAGTAAGTCCTCCCTTTCTTTCATTTAACTACTAAACACTTTCATGTAATCCACTGGATCTGCAACTGCTGTAAATGAGCTTAGCTATGATCATCCAGGCTGCCAACTAGGACTGGTATCCTATACCTGGAAGATGCTCAAGCCTTCAGTTGCCAAAAGCCTCAGTGAAGAATAATATTGTGCCTGTGTTAAACCTCTCTGACTTTCTGATCAATTTTTATTTTCAGATTTGTTATTGTTTTTAACCACTTTCCAGCAGTCACTATTTCACCTGCTGTGTTCCTGCTTTCCACTGATCTGTTACTGAAATTAAATGAATGAGAGCAAATACCAAACCTAAGACATTCGTGAGGCAGAACTACATGTACCTGTTATGTCAGACTACTAGTAAACACTTTAAGTACACACTTTTTCATATTAAAAACACAATAATCTTCAACATCTGGTTTAAAAAAAAATGAAGAGCTGGAAGGCAGCAAGCAGAAAGTTACTGCATCCAAGTATCCACATGCTTCATCATTTAAATACAGGTGGAGGAAAATTCATGCGTGGTGAGATAATAAAGACTAACACCAGTACAGGCAACAGATAAAATTAACTCTGCAATAGTGAGGAACAAGAAATACTCAACTTTTATATAACAGAAGTCTATTTCTGATTTTCAGCTATTTGCCACTTAAACAAAGTTAATGAAAATTTTAGTTAGGAATATATTCATTCTGAATGCATTCATTAATACATTTTTTCAAAACATGACAGAATTTGTGCTCCTATAGCCTCTGAAGCTAGCATTTACTTTTAATGACAATATGTGCTTCTCTGATATCCTTGATATTCCTTCATGGCTGAAGCTTCTTGTCTGCTATGCTACCATTTTTGGTTTTCTGATCATACCCACCCTATTCCTATTTATTTCTCTTCATGGAGTCACTGCTTTCAATATTTTCTCCTTGCAATAAAAACAAATTCAGATTCTTGCACTTCTAAATTACAGAAAAGTCTAATCTCTTCAACATATAAATTGTAGAGATTTTCACTATCTTCCTGGCACATTTTATGAAAGTTCACTTTTGAAACCTTAGTTTTACGTATGCAAAGTAATCCACTATTCACAAAAGAACCCTTCTTTTCTGTATTTAACACCTCAACTCCTCTGAATAAGCACCTACTCCAGGGTGCTGTTTAGCTTAGTATTCTGGTGCTAAACACAATATTAAAAGTACTGGACTCTTTCATACAGGAATTACCATTTTCCTACGAACTCATCAGGTGTTCATTTATACACCAAAATCTATCGCATTTATTAGCAGCAGAATTAAGGATTATTTGAGTGTCCTACAAATGTTTTATTGCTGGAGTGCATGTAAAGACTGTCATCTCCCCCTCCTGTTTCTACACCAGAAAACAATGAGACAGTACATATAGAACAGCAGAACAATTGTTCTTTTACTGTGTATGTATCTCAGGTGTTTCTCTACCAGCAAAATGTTTGCTGCTGGTTCAGAGACCTCTCATGCTTGCTTTCCACAAGAGTAGCTGTTACTGCCCAGCAATCAGACCTACTGTTAGGTGTACTTTGTGATCCTCAAGGTAAGAGGTCATGTGAAATGCTAATCATTAGCAATAACTCTCTTTGCTTTCAATCTCAGTTATTCTAAGGTTTCACAATCTGTTTCAAACCTCTACCCTAAGCTAGGTCATCCTTAATTTCAAATACCATGATGGGTTTCCAATGTTTCAAAGGAGATCATTACCTTTGCAACCTTGACCTTTATCTGCTGTTAGTTTAGACTTTCTCTCTAGTCTTTGTTGTTTTCTGACATTCTGAGTTTTCACTAAAAATAATGTAACAACACCACAAATGTCGACCTTGTTTTCTATGGAAAACTATGGAAGGTTTTACTTATGAATGACCACCTCATTTTAGGAGTCTTGCACAGTTGCAATCAATAGCCTGCAGTTGCATCATTCCACAGGAATGTTATGAAGCTGACATGTATGTGGGCCCTTGGATGCCAAGTAATGTATGTGCTCTACCTGGCTACTTATAAATAAGAGAAAGAAACTTAATCTGTTTTAACTCTCTCCCTCTTATTTGTTAGAGCTCAGTCTAAAATACAGAATTAGAGACAAGTAACCCCAGTAACACTGGTAAAACAAATTGAGATCCTCATATCAAATGTACTACAGAATGCAGCATACTATTAGAAGTAAAAAATGTTGCTTGATTTCAAGGGACTTTTAAGAATGCCACATCATTTGCAGAGGTAAAAACCCGAAGAAATTTTTCTTTTGTTGTAAAGAGTATATCAATAAAAGTAGTATTTTAAGCCTTCTTTTCTCATACTCTGGTTCCTTTGAATAAAGTATAATCAATGGTAGTATTTGCCTTTAACTTGCACAGGAAATAGCTGTGAGGAATTTTTTTTTTCTTCCATCATTCTGTATTTCACTAGAGACTCCAAACATAAAGAATACCTTTTGGCTGAGGTGGAATTCCTAGTTCAGAGTCAAGGTCAAAGGTTCTGACTATTCCTTGGGAGTTGTGGGTGGAAGTGAAGATAGAAATAATTGTATTACTTTCTGTTGAAACTCTGTACTTCCCAGCCACAAGGATATATCTATGGCTAGGACTGGAAGACAAAAAATTTCCTTTATATAGTCTACTCTGCCCAACTTTCTAGCTATAAAAGGAAACTCCTTACAGCTTCTGAGGAGATGCCCCAGCTGCTTACCACACACAAGGAGAAGTACTTTCAAGAGAAAGTAAAATGTGATTTCTACCACTCTCTTTTGTCTTGAGATAGACTGACAAGGAGCATTTTTCAAAGTTTTTTAGGGGAAAACACAGCACAAATCCCCAAACTGAGTATCTAGTTTTTCCCTTGGTCACTCCAACCAGCACTGGCTACTCCTCAAACAGCTTTTTGTCTCCTATGATTTACCAGAGAAAAGCAGATTGTTGCCACCTTTTATCTAGGGACATCTCTCTAGGAGAACTTCTGCCCCTCAGGTTGATGTGTGCTAGGAGAAGGTGACAGAGAACCTGGCCACAGCTACAAAAGTGGCTTCACTTAAACACAGCTTTTCTCAGTGTTTCTCCTATCTCAAAACCTCTGGATCCAGCAGTCATGAAGCCAAATGGGATGGCTTTGACATTCACCTAAATTTTAATGGGCAGAAAAGTCTACCATGCTTATTACAAAACAACGCTCAGAGGAGAGAATGTTGGAAAAACTTAAAGGAGAAATTACAGCAAACTTACAAACTTGAAAGCCTAAGAGGGGAGAAATTTTTCTTGTACTGGTCTAGTATTATCACAGGAATTTACTTTGTAGATTACGCAAATAAAAAAAAATTCTTCATAAATGTTGAATTTGCTGAACAATCATTCATTCTTGTTCATGCTGTTTTCTCAGGGCTATTACTACCATGAGATCTAGTAGTTTGTTCTAAGGAGAAAATGCTTTATTCTTTTTTATCTAGTTTCTTCTCCTTTGAAAATATACTTTTTCCTTTTACAATAAATACATAGCAGTATTGCTAACAATACGCAAGTGCCAATAAAGAAACAGATTTCTTAATTCCTTAGACATTTTCAGTCTTCTAATTTCTAAAGCCCAAGTTAGATGGCAATACTTATTTGAAACCATGACAATCAACTTCATTAATTTAAACTCCAGCTTTTTTTTTCTTCTAAAAAACACTGCTTTAGTCTTATGGTGAATCTTCTAAACCATCACTTGCATAAAAAAGAAAAGAGATGAATTTGGGTACCTGAGACACTGGAGTTCCTCTGATATTCTTCAGAGAACGGAGAATGTCCTAGCACATGCTTCCACGTGTAAAGCAGTGAATCCTATAAAAGATGGGCTTTCCTGGCATCCAGCTTAATTTTCCCTGTGTCAATTGCATTGAGGAGAATTACTGCAGATTTTTACTACTCTTTTTTTTTTTTGTCCACTAAGACAATCAAAATTGTGTGCTGTCCTTGGGAAAATCCCCAGCTGTGCACAATGTAAGACTATTCATTTATAATCATCAGAAAATCAGGATAAGCCTGCAAACATAATTTTGGGTGATGAGAGCTGTCATGAGATCACATTGCTTTGTAGAACTAAGGTATATGTGGAGGAATTGCTGCCTTAGAAAAGAGGAAACAAGCAGCAGAGCAATAGGCAATTACGTTTTGCTTCTCCCATTTCCCTCTAGTTAAGAGCTTCTTGTTTACTTCAGGAAGTCTGCTTTTAAGATGTTATTAAAGTTTCTAGGCCTGTCAAACCTATCAGCATAATTACAAGAGATGGCATGGCACTCAGTTCTTTAAGTACTCCATACCTGTAGGAGCTATGAGTCATTAGCTCCTCTCTGCATCCCTGATTGAAAGGAATGTTAATGTTAGAAGCCCAGCAGAGGCATGCTGAAAAGCTGCCACGGACACACACAGACTCTGGTGTCACTGACAGTCTTACAAATCTTTGCAAACATATGCTGGTCATCTTGGCTGTGTTCACACAGCAAGATCTGAGAGTGTTTTTAAGTTCCTTGGTCTGGCTACATGCCCCATTCATGTCCAAATATTGTATCTATGGAAGATTTGAGTCCATTCCTCTATCTGTCCCTTGGTTCCTCACCTCTTACCCTGGAAAGGAGCTCAGGTGTGCTTTAGTCAGGTCTGCAGGGCCAGTGCTCAGGGAACCAGAACTATAGGCACAGCTACTGATGTATCTGTACAAGAAAGAAAGCAGTTCTGGCTTCTGGAATGATACCACTGTAAAGTCACACAGCTGACACAAGTTTGGTGTGTGCTTTGCTGCCCCTGGTAGTAAACATTGAGGAAGATCTCTGAAAATAAGCCAGTCTTTGAAAGAATTTTCTCATTTTTTACCACATTAAGAAAGGGTAAGGAGTTGTTAATAAAGGTTAACCTTAGTTTAGTGAGGTTGATCTCCTTACATTACCTCCTTAATAACAGAGAGAGGTTCTGTCTTCTTTCTCCATG